AGTACGAAGACGGGAAACCATGTTGCACTCTCCTTTCTAGAATGCCCAGGACGTCCTTGTCCATCCCAGCCAACTTCCAAGCTAGGGCAAGAACTTTTCTGTGCCATGCTGGATAGCCCCGCTAAGGGAAAACAAAACACACCTATAATGTGAAAGGAGAGCTGTCTTTTTACATCACCATCCCTCCAAGTTCTAACCCTTTTCCACGAGGCAGCCCTTCACGCAGAGAAGAACTGGCTCTGCCCTGGGGGCCAGCCCTGCCCTTGGCCCTTCCGAGTCCCAGAGACCTGCCCTTGGCCCCACCAGCCTGGAATCTCTGCTCTCAGGCCTTGCGCCACCTGCATGTTCCTGTTCGGCGGAGCAGTTGTAACACCATAGCCATCTTTCATGCTGGCCTGAAACACTTTCCAAACATTCTGGAAATTTGTTATGGTTATAGCAGCCAAGCCCACAAAACCCAGATCCCAATCTCTTACTAAGCAGCCCAAGAATATGTTCAAATCATCCTCTGGCTGGCTTGGCCGCTGATGGCTCTTGCTGGACTCCATCCCTTGGTCCCTGAGATGAATCATGAGTTTCTCTCCTTGCTATTGTTGGCCAGCCCCCAGGTTAATGGTTGGTGGTACACGCACCACCCCCAGTCTAAGTTCTGAGCCCTGTGTGTGGAAAGCTCAGGGTGAAGGGATCACGGAACAGCCCATCAGAAGGCCCAAGTAACTAGTCCCACTTGAGAGAAAGTGATCCAGACCAGGGAGGCTCTGGGCGTCTGCCTTGGGTTTTCATTCATGGGTCAGATTCCTGCCCCAGTGTTAACTCCAGGACCCCTCCCTGAGCAGGACATCAGCTTGGCCTGGCCGGCAGCCTCATTCAATTAAGCTCACCGGTCTCCGTACACCACCCACCCTTCAGTCTGCAGTTCTCCTCTGTGTCGCCAGAGCATGGTTCCACAACAATCACAGTCCCCCTCCCCACTCTGCCTCGAGGCAGGTTCTCCTGGCATGACCCTGCCTTGCCCCCAGGCTCCCCGAGGAAGCCAGTGCATCGCGGCTAACTCTGTACCCAGCCCAAGCTCAGAGCCGGACACTAAGGCTTACTTATACTATTTTCTTTCTTTTAAAAAAAAGCTGTAAAAAATTTTATTTGGGGCTTTTACAGCTCTTATAACAAGAGCTGTACATCAAACGTATCAAGCACCTTTGTATGGATGTTGCCATCATCATTTCCAAAACATTTACTTTCTACTTGAGCCCTTGGTATCAGTGTCTCTCCCCCACCCCCATCCTCCTAGCCTCATGAACCCTAGGTAATTTATATTCTTATTTTCATATTTTACACCTTCTGCTGTCTTCCTTCACCCACATTTCTGTTGTTTGTCCCTCTCAGGGGGCGGGGGCGGCGCGGGGGAAGCACGTCGATCATTGCCATCTGTTCCCCCTTTCTCCCTGTCCTTTTGATCTTATATGGTTGATTCTTCTTCTTCTTCTTTAAATCAGGTGGCTCTTACATTTTTATTGGGGACTCTTACAGTTCTTGCCACAATCCATCCACCCATCCATTGTGTCAAGCACATTTGTACATAGGTTGCCATCATCATTTTCAAAACGTTTTCTTTCTATTTCTATTTTTTGCAATTGGTGGAAGTGAAGCGGGCCGTTGGCTTTACTCTATCAGGCCCTCATACCTCCATCAGAAAGGCGAGAGGCAGGAGACCCCCAGCACCTTGGTCTCCAACTGCTTCCCCGTCTCTGTCGCCATAGCATTGATTCTCTGGGGATGCTGAGCTGAGCTGCCCAACACAGGGGTCACAAGCCCCCAGTGTGACTGCTTCCTGAGTCAGGGGGCTCTGCTGATCCCTGGCTAGAGCATATGCTCCAACGCCTGGTCTATCACCTGTCTGTCCTGCAGACAGACACTGGAGGAAGAGCCAGATTGAATTGGAGCAATGTCACCCTTCTCACCAGACAGCAGGTTTACCACGACCCCGATTACCCTCCGCAGCAGAGCACCGCATGCCCATGCCATCATACTTGAGGACAAAGGTCTCAGATAACTGCTGGCAGCTTTGTGTAACCCACAACCCAGAGGGCCAGAGAGGCCCAGTGCCTTACCCAACCCACACAGGCTCTGCAAGTGCTCAGCCCACAGGAACCAGCCAGTGCCCAGCGGGGGATGAGCGGCTGCTAGTAGAGGCACAACCTTTGGGTCTCCGGGCCAGTGAGGATAAAGAACTGAGGCCCTGGCTCTCCCAGGCCCACCTGCTCTCGCTTCCAATGTCCTCCTCCCTCGCCCCTCAAGCCCAGGACAGAGAAAGGGCTGTTCTTACCTGCTAGGATGAAGATGCCCACGAGGATCAGGAAGACCAGCAGGTAGAGCCCAAGAACAGCATACTTGAGCGCCGACAGGGAGCCCAGCTGACTACAGCAGCCTCCCACTCGGCGGCGGTGGCATGGACCTACAAGAAGGTTCAAAAGAGGAAGAGAAAGAACACTTGAAACCCCCATCAGTTGAGTTAATTTCTCACTGGGTTTCCCCTCTCCTTGGGGCATGTCCATGCACACCCGGAACCAAGCCCTGCACCATCAGCACACCCATGCTGCCAGTCCGCTGGGGAACCTTGCAGATCCATCAAGCAGCCCATCCCAGGGTGCCCAACTCGCCCCCCACACCCCAAGCACACGAACAAGCCCGACGGGCACGTGCTCAGGCTCATGAGCTCACACAGATCCAGCCTCCTTAGCCAGTGGAAATAGGTTTGACCGCGTGTCCTTTACCCAGTGTCGCTCACTGTCCCAGGTGGTCGAGAACTCTGGAGGGAATTCAGAACTGGACTTGCAAGCTCAAATGTCGACAATGGCCGGGAAGGGGATGGCCACGAGAGCAGGGGGCTTGGGCAGGCCTGTGGTGAACCACAGCTCCAGCCAGGCTCGTCCACAGCAGGTGGCTGTGTGGGAAGGAGGGCTGGAGGTTGCCAGATCTAAGATCTTCAAGACTAGCCAGGAGCAGTTATGAGAACCCTCCCTCGTTTTAAATGCTGGCAACTGATTCAGAAAACAAAAACAAAAGCAACATTGAGACTGTAAACAAGATATATCTGCATGAAGGATCTGGCACTAGCCACCAATTTGAAATTCAGGACTTTAGGGAAACAATGTCACTTCATGCTAGGGAACAACAGGAGACTTCCCAGCTCCCAGCTAAAAGGTAACAGCAAGGATCAGCAGTGTGTTGGGCCTCAGGGATCATCAGCCCAAGCCCTTGTATAGATCAGGAACTCCGCCCCCTCAGAGGCCAATGGATGCACTATAGGTCCAATGTTAGTTAGTGGCAATGCCTGGGTCAAGGTCCTAGTAGCCTGACACCCAGAGCTCTTTCCAGTGGGCTGCTTCAAAACACCTTTCAGCCGTGACTGACCGGGGAGTCTATTCCCCAGCGCCCCTGTGTGGCCTGAGGCTGCAGGGCACGGGAGAAGTTCAGGCAATGGGGAAGGAGGGAGGGTTGATGAGCTGGGACACCAGGCATTTGAACAAAAGGGTTGTGGGTGATACTGAAACGGTGGGTGGCTAATGCTTACGCATTTGGCAAAATCATAGAGCCTGGCCGCACAAACTATGTAACATAAATTATGGACTTTAGTTATTAACATCGTATCAATATTTGTTCATCCAATGGACCGAATGTCCCCTCCTAGTGCAAGAGGTTAATAGTACGGGAAGCGGTAGACGTGGAAGAGGAGAGGACAGGGACTGCTGCACGTTTTGCATGATTTTTATGCATGCCTAAAACGGCTCCGAAATACAGGCTGTGCTTCCCCCCCCCCCAATGGAGGAACGTTTTTCAACATGTGTACGCCCATCCCCCCACCCCCTTGCAGGTTTGGAGGGAAGCCCCTGATTCTGAGAAGTCTCATGCCCCCCCGTGAGAAAGGCACAGAAGTAGAAATGGGCTGGCAGCAGCTATCGAAACAACTGATCTTCTACAATGTTTTCAAACCGGATGTGATGTTGAGTAAAGAAGATCGAAGAAGAATCACAGCATTCGACTTGTGGTGCCAGAGAAGAACATTGACAGTACCAGAGGGCTGCCAAAAGGACAAACTCATCTGTCTTGGACGCAGTACTGCAGGGTCCCCCTTAGAGGCAGGGGTGGTGAGACTTCATCATCTAGATTTTGGCCATGAGGTCAGGAGAGACCAGTCCGTGAAGGACATCAGGGTTGGTAAGGTACAGGGGCAGCAAAGGAGAAGGCCCTCAAGGAGATGGCTTGACACCTTGGCTGCAACAATGGGCTTAAGAATAAGAACCGTGGGGAGACGGCGCAGGACTGAGCAGTGTTTCCTTCAGTCGGGCCCAGGGTCGCTATGGATCGGAACTGGCTCAATGGCATCTCACAGCAACATCATCAATTCGGAGCAAGTTATCAAGAAATACTAACTCCATCACCATTCTCATGGATCGTTAACTGCTAGCAAATATAGGTGAGTTTAACCTGCTTGCCCATGAACACTTGAATGCAGCACATCTTTCTAACTCAACCTAAATCTCCTTTTGTCTGCTCCTTGCCACACTTTTGGATCTATAGTTGTTTTGTTTTGTTTTCTTAAATACCCCCACTCCCTCTTAGTAAGAGGTGCTAACTATCTGGTTACCACTTACTCAAGACTCAGACTAGTAGGCACAGTCTGTAAAGACCATACAAATACTAGAGATTATCATGATGGTTATCTTACCTCCTGCTTAGAGCCCAACTTCCTCTTTAACCTCATGAAAGACTAACCAGACCAGCAGGTGAGTCTGACTCTTGTGATCAGAGCAGAGCTAGGTTCCATAGGGTTCTTCAGGATTGATTTTTCACGGGGGCCTTTTTCCTAAGGTGCCCTGGTGGGCTTGAACCTTCAGCCTTTCAGTTAGCAACCTAGTCCATTCCCCATTGGCACCATCCAGGGACTCCATAGCAGACAGGAGAAGCAGCGTGGCATGGCTGTCAATGCCGAGAACTTGATACTGCATGGCTATTGCTAGGTCATTACTTGGTCCTTAATAAGGCATTCAGGAAGAGTAGGTCTAATTGTCGAGATGCAGTTCTATTTCTTTTCCAATCAAAAAACAAGTAGTTCCTTCCCCCTCCACCTGAGGCGTCTATTGTGAGCACCTCCCCAGGACAGAGCCCCCTGTCAGCCAACACACATGATACAGATCTTCCTCTGATAGAGCTTCATTCTCTCAACAAGTCTCCATTACTCTGTACCTTAAACAAAATCTATTTTAAATAGAGCACAATAATAGTCTCAAATAGAGAGTTTCCACAAATAGCTAGAAAATCATACCATGAATGGTTCTGGCAAGATGCTCAGGGGAGATGATTGCAAGGCGAAGAAGACACTTGAGGGAAGAGACAAGTTCCTAAGGATGCCAAAAACATATTTAAGAACTTTTTTTTTTCAGGCGCTAGCAGCATGTGGGTTGGGTTACCAGTCTACTTACTTACCAGTCTGGTGGAAGATGAAAAACTTGTCCAAAATAATAGAATTAGTCAGCAGAGGGTAGAGTATGTGCTCATTTTTGTTCAAGGAAAACCAGAAGGAGATAGAGGTCTTTGACTCATTAATTTTAGGGAATACAGTTTATCATAGATTTGTGGAATGCCCACTACTCATTGCATCCAACCTCAGAGCAAAACAAGAAACTCATGATGTCAGTCGATTCTGACTTCATCGATCCTAGCCTTCTCTCACAGAGCAGTTGATGAGTTTGAATTGTCAGCCTTTGATGAGCAGCTGAGCACGTTCAGCATCACACCACCAGGGCCCCCTACAGGCAGCCTTGAAGGTGGCCTTTGTGATCGCTGTCCTCGCAGGCAGCCCCCTTCCGCTTTCTATCAAGGTTGGTCAGTCTGACCAATAGAATAGGGTAGATGTGAGGCCTTTTCACTTCAGAGATTAGACTAAAGGCATTGCAGATCCCTTCTTTGTCCTTTGTCTTTCTTGTGATCATCCACTTTGGGGGGACGTCAGCTGCCATGTCATGAACACCTCTATGGAAAGGTCCCGCAGAGTAGACAAATGTGGCCTTCAGCCAATAGCCACGTGAGTGAGGATGGAAGCAGATCCTTCAACCCAGTCAAGCCTTCCTATTCTGCAGCCCTGGCCAATCTCTTGAGTGCACTCTCATGGGAAATCTTGAGTTGAGCTACCCAGCGAAATGCTCCTGGGTCCTTCCCAGGTTAAATTATATATAAGTAGATTCTGAGGAAAAGTTTTATCTATAAAACTAAGCAAAGTCTTGACTTTTCTTGCACACCCAAAGCTTCCTCAGAAAGTGTGTAAGATCACAAATGGTTGTTGTTTTTAAGCCAATAAGTTTGGTGGTAATATGTTATGTACTCATAGATAACACATACGTGTATGATATGAGGACATTGTGAGCTCACTGGTAGGATCCTTGCTTTCCACCCAGAAGACCTGGGTTGGGTTCACAGCTCCTGCACCTCATGCACAACCACTGCCCATCCATCAAGGGAAGCTTGCATGTTGCTATGATGCTGAACAGGATTCAGTGGCATTTCCAGACCAAGATAGACTAGGAAGAAAGGCCTGGTGATCTACTTCCAAAAATAAGGCAATGTTAATCTTGTGGGGAACAGTGGTCCCATCTGCAAATGATTGAGAGAATGATACAGAACAAAGCAGCATTTTGTCCCTTTGTGCACAACACCACCCTGGGCATCAGAGGTCAATGTTACCACAGCTCACAACAACAACACACTTAAGAAAAACACTGGAAAATGCAAAGCTAATGCAAAATCTGAGAGTGAAACCTCAGTGTTCCTACTGTCGACTTCTCATTTACTAGACCAGCTCCTGAAACAGAGTGGGCTCTCAGAGACTACCTGTTGCATGAGAGACTGGGCCTGGGCCATGTTCTTTTAGATGCACCCAGTGAGAGGGGGGATAAAGCACACAAACAAGCA